AAAAAAAAGGCGGTCTTATTAATCCGCTGATATCCCAGCAACACAAATAATCAAATAATGACTCAATGTTTTCAAGCGTCAATATCATACGTTGATACTGTCTGGAAATAAGTACATAAATAAGCAATAAACATGCCACCAGGCATAACTATTTTATAAGGTGAGTCATTTAGAGTCAATTTATATTATAAGGACTGCAGAATGGGGTACATCAATGAGACAAAATCAACCAGGGCTTCACTATGCTGGATAGTAAGGGGAATAGGACGGACTGCACTGAAGGCTTCATACAAATAGGGAGATAAAAGATGTGGTCTAGCAAAGAGATTCATTACTTAAAGTTAATAAGCTTATGGCATAGCAGGACATTCAATTACCAATGTGACAACTGCTAAGTTTCTATTACCTACAATCTCAAATGCATGGAATAAAGTCTGCAGCTACTCAAAACGAGAAACACTAATCAACAACATGCTGCCTGGTTGCACCGCTTAAATAGGAGTAAATCATCTCCAAATTGCCAGCACCTGAATCTCAGGTTTGATGGTAGCTTGCCGCTGACAACCAAAAGCACTACCCCTTAAGCTAGTGCGTGCGGCATCACCCCCCTGTCATCACATTGACGTTGCAGGATGACGCTACGCACATCAACAATGTGGCACTATTCCTTCCACTGACACCAATAGTGGGGAAATATTCCTTCTACTGATACCAAAAATTGGGATACTATTCCTTTCACTGACACCAGCAATGTGGCACGATTCCTACCACTGACACCAATGATGGGACACTATTCCTTCCACTGACACCAATGATGGGGCATTATTGCTCCCACTGACACCAACAATGGGGAACTATTCCTTCCACTAAAAAAATGTGGCACCATTTACAGGCCACTTTCTACTCCCACTGGCTACAGTCCGGCCCCTCTAAAGTCTGAAGGACAGCAAGCTGGTCCCTTGTTTAGAAAGTTTGGAGACCCCCCTCTGAAGTATCTGTATCATCCATCTGACAACCTAATGGTACTACATGATGGGTGAGTATCTGCCTGTATTTCTCACCATTAATCTTGACCAAATCTCCAACTTTATTTGCAGAAGTGCAGCCCCAAATTTGAAAGGAACCAGTTTTCGTGCATAGAACATGGAAACAATGCTAAGTGACTAACTATGCAGGAAAACATAGGAAGTGGGGTTCAGAAAAATGGCAGCAGGTGCTCTGGACTGATGAGTCAAAATTTTAAATATTTGGCTGTAGCAGGAGGCAGATTGTTCACTAAAGGGCTGGAGAGTGGTACAATAATTAGTGTCTGCAGGCAACAGTAAAGCATGATGGAGGTTCCTTGTTAAGGACTGCATTTTTGCAAACAGGGTTGGATATTTGGTCAGGACCAATGATGTTTTCAATGCTGAGAAGTACAGGCAGAGACTTATCCACCATGCCATACCATCAGGGAGGTGTGTGATTGGCCCCAAATTTATTATGCAGCAGGACAACAACCCCCCCCCCCCCCCCAAACATACAGCCAATGTCAATAAGAACCGACTTCAGTGTAAAGAATAACAAGGAATCCTGAAAGTGATGGTCTGGCCCCCGCAGAGCCCTGATCTCAACATCATGGAGTCTGTCTGGGATTACATGAAGAGACAGAAGGACTTCAGGTAGCTTACATCCACAGAAGATCTGGGGTTAGTTCTCCAAGATGTTTGCAACAACCTACCTGCCATGTTCCTTCAAACACTGTGTGCAAGGGTACCCAGAAGAATTGATGCTATTTGAAGGCCAAGGGTGGCCACACCAAATATTGATTTGATTTGGATTTCTCTTCTATCCATATTCTTTTCATTTTGTTAATTGAAAAAATAAGCTATGAAACACTTATTTCTGAAAACATTCTTACTGTATAGGATTTTTTCACAACTGCCTAAGTCTTTTGCACAATACTCTATATACACACACGCATACACAAATGTTTTGCCTTGCATTTCTACCTTCTATTTTAAGCTCAATGGCTTATTTTACAAGGTAAGTGTTTCATATATACTTTATTATGCAATATACACCGGTCAGCCATAACATTATGACCATCTACCAAATACTGAGCAGGTCCCCCATCTGCCACAAAAACAGTCATGACCCGTTGAGGCATGAACACCACTAGACCTCTGAAGGTATGCCGTGGTATCTGGCATCAAGCTGTCAGTAGCAGATTCTTTAGGTCCTGTAAATTGCAAGGTGGGGCCTCCATGGATTGGCCTTGTTTTTTCAGCACATTTCATGGGTGCACCATTGATTTGAGATCCGGGGAATTTGGAGGCCAAGTAAAATCTTGGAACTCGTTGTGTTCCTCGAACCATTCTAGAACCATTTTTGCAGTGTGTCAGGGCACATTATCCTGCTGAAAGAGGCCACTGCCATCAGAGAATAAAAAAAATGAAAATGAATGGCGCAGCGCTAACTATAAAAGTGAATAAAAAAATGAATAAAAATAAATGTGTAACCATATATTCATAAAGTGCTAATAAATCAACAAACCAAAAATATACATATAACAATAAAGTGCTAATCAGAACCGTGATAAAAAGTGGACAATACTAGTGTTTGGGTCACCTTAGTGACCTAAAAATAGTGATGAACACACACAATATAATGAAATAACCTGGTGTTAAGTGTCCTTGGTAATAATCAAAAAACCTTTTAAAGCAAGTACTAATAAGTCCATAAAGTAACAAGTGCTGATAAAACGTGATAAAACACCATGCAATGTGTTAAACGTGAACACTTCGTGTATGCTGTTACACAGTTAATATTTATGTTAATGTACATGAGAATTCATATAGTTTATTCTTTGTACCATTTCCTATGGACATTTCTATAGTTAGTTATATGCTGCCATCCAGTGGCCTTATTTGGTAATGCACTTGTTTTTCATATTACCTCCCTGAGATCTATGACACAATTCCTTTGCATATGAAGCTCCTCCCTTCTTCTTGAGTACAGCACTTCCTGTGTCATGGATGCAGCTAACAGACCACATGTAACAGGGACACATGTATTCTGCATAGTACGCTACAGAAAGTATCATCTTTTGACCGCATAATACTGGAAACCATTCATTCTGCTGTATCCTGTTGTCACATGTACAGAATAAAGCAACTTCTGGATGAACACAGTATTGGTGAGTTCAGCTATCTGATAAGGATTGTCCACAGTGATTAGATCTGCTTATACAGGCTAGGCATAGAGGTCTCACAAGGGATAAATTGCTATCACAACAATCTGAGTCAGAATATCGTGCAAGTGCCGGCACACTTTAAATCCACTCCAGCTGCAGTGCCTCCTCACCTCCTTCCTGTGACCCAAAAGGCCCAACAAGCATTCAGGATCACTCTGGATCCTTTATATCTCTGGCTAATACCTCTCCAGAAAGCCAAGGATCATAAACGGTCTCCTGTTCAGCCTTCAAATACTTCCTCCTCTGCCTTTTATAAGGATATTCTGTAGGGTATATTACTCACAATCCCAGTGAGTAATAAAAAAAGATCCTCCATAGTGTAGTATTAGTAATAATGCAGTCTTTATTTAAACATAAGAAGTACACTCACATGAACCTGCAGTCCCTTCCTCCTGCTATATGTGGGTATGCTGCATCCATGTGGTACTTCCTGGGTGTACTGGGTGTACTAAGATGGCGTCCTCCACTGGAAGTGCGTCACTCGTACCGGAAGCTGTGTATCGGCGTTACCTACGCGTTACGTCACGTGGTCTCGTCACTTCCTCTGGGTTTTTTTTTGTTTTGATTGGTATTATTATTGGGTGTTGGCTGCTATTGGTGACTTCCTTGGGGTTTTTTTGTTCTGATTGGTATTATTATTGGGTGTTGGCCGCTATTGGTTAGGGTATTTCCGTATCAGCGCAGGAGGATTTTTAGTTCCTCTTGCCATCAGGGAATGCCGTTTCCATGAAGGAGCGTGCTTAGTCAGCAACAATGTTTAGGAAAGTGGTATGTGTCAAAGTAACATCCACATGAGTAGAAGGACCCAAGTTTCCCAGCAGAACATTGCCCAAAGCAACACACTGCCTCCATCGGCTTACCTTCTTCTCGTACTGCATTCTGGTGCCATCTCTTCCCAGGTAAGTGACGCACACACAGGCCATCCACATGATGTAAAAGAGAATGTGGTTCATCGGACCAGGCCACCTTCTTCCATTGCTCCGTGGTCCAGTTCTGATGCCCACGTGCCCATTGTAGGACTCTGCAGCTGTGCAACAAACTGCGATGCCCATTTTTCTGTTTTCACTACATCAACTTCAAGGACAAGTTCACTTGCAGCTTAATATATCCCATTCACTTTCAGATGTCATTGTAACAAAATAATCAATGTAATCACGTTACTTGTCAGCAGTCATAAGGTTATGGCTGATCGATTTATATAATCAGTCACTTTTGCTGTATTTTAAAACAAAACGATGTATTGAACAGAGACTCCATTAATTTTATGACACATTGTGTGGAAGCTGTGCACAACAAAAGACAAGCCAAGTACAAAGGGTAAATCATTGGTAATACCTGAGGGCTTCCTGTAGCTGATCCTTTCCCCCATTACTGACTTACCACACCTAGTTCTACATCATGTGTCTGTGCAAAGGTGACCCACCTAGGTAGAGGCAGGACTTTGTTTCTCCATGTCACAGCTTCCCCCTGATGACTGATAGGGAATATTCAACAAGCTCAGATCCACCAGATGGACAAATCAGAGAATTGCATACAGTCCAGCTTATTGTCCATCTAGGAGCACAGTAGTGACATCACGTCACAATCCAAATCTTGTCAGACTAGAAGTCATTAGCAGCAGTGCCTTAGATTAGTGGCCTCCAAACTGGGGCCCAGGGCCGGATGTGGCCCTTGGAGCATTATCCCCCCTGCTGTCAAACACAGTGGGGCATAGTTCCTGCCACTGACACCGACAAAAGGACACTATTCCTCCCACTGACACCAGTGATGGGGAACTATTCTTCTTATGACACCAATGATGGAGCACTATTCCTCCCATTGACACCAATGATGGGGCACTATTCCTCCCACTAACACCAACAATAGGATAGGAAATACTCTTACCACTGACACCAATGATGAAGCACTATTCCACCCATTGACACCAATGATGAAGCACTATTCCACCCATTGACACCAATGATGGAGCACTATTCCTCCCATTGACAGCAATGATGGAGCACTATTCCTCCCATTGACAGCAATGACGGAGCACTATTCCTCCCATTGACAGCAATGATGGAGCACTGTTCCTCCCATTGGCACCAACGATGGGGCACTATTCCTCCCACTAACACCAACAATAGGATGATATTCTTACCACTGACACCAATGATGAAGCACTATTCCACCCATTGACACCAATGATGGAGCACTATTCCTCCCACTGACACCGATGGAGCACTATTTCTCCCACATTGACACCAACAATGGGGCATATTCCTACCATTGACAGCAATGATGAAGCACTATTCCACCCATTGACACCAATGATAGGATGACTATTCTTACCACTGACAGCAATGATGGAGCACTATTCCTCCCATTGACACCAATGATGGGCGCTATTCCTCCCATTGACAGCAACGATGGAGCACTATTCCTCCCACGAACAGCAATAGATGGGGCACTATTCTTACCCATTGACAGCAATGATGGAGCACTATTCCTCCCATTGACACAAACCATGATGGAGCACTATTCCTCCCCACTAACACCAACAATGATGGATGACTATTCTTCCCACTGACACCAACGATGGGGCACTATTCCTCCCATTGACAGCAATGATGGAGCACTATTCCTCCCACTAAACACCAACAATAGGATGATATTCTTACCACTGACACCAATGCTGGAGCACTATTCCTCCCATTGACACCAATGGAGCACTATTCCTCCCATTGACACCAACGATGGAGGCACTATTCCTCCCACTAACACCAACAATAGGATGATATTCCTACCACTGACACCAATGCTGGAGCACTATTCCTCCCACTGATGGAGCACTATTCCTCCTATTGACATCAACGATGGGGCACTATTCCTCCCACTAAACACCAACAATCGGATGCTATTCTTACCACTGACACCAATGATGGGGCACTATTCCTCCCATTGATACCACTGATAGAGCACTATTTACTTCCTCTAATACAGTGTTTCTCAACTCCAGTCCTCATGGACCCCCAACAGGTCATGTTTTCAGGATTTCCATTATTTTGCACAGGTGATTTGATCAGTTTCACTGCCTTAGTAATTACCACAGCTGTTTCATCTGAGGGAAATCCTGAAAACATGACCTGTTGGGGGGCCATGAGGACTGGAGTTGAGAAACACTGCTCTAATACCAACGATGGGGCACGGTTTACTCCCACTGAAGCCACAACATATTCTTTTCCCACTGACCACAGTCGGACCCCCCAATAGTTTGAAGGACAGTAAATTTGTTCTTTGTTTAGAAAGTTTGGAGACCCTGCCTTAGATGATCTCATACTGCAGCTGTAGGCACAAGAATATGTACAGTAGGTACCCTCATATATCAGGAAGTGAACCGATATTTTTCAGGAGGAATTCAAAACAAAAAGTTAGATTTTTCAAGGTGTTGTTTTAGATTAAGATTTCTAAAATGTTCCCTAACATAGAAAATATTCATGTTTTCAGTTCACACCCACCAAAATATGCAAAATGTAAAGATTACAATTTTAAACTGTTCTTTGTACTGAAAAGGTTTCTAAATAAATTATTTTTACTTTTTATCTGATCACTACTAGTAAAGTTACATCTCGTGAAGGAAAGACCAATTAGCAAGGACAGTCACTGCCCATACATAATAATAATACTTGATAATAACAGAAATCACCCAAATGGCCCTGATCAAAAGTTTTCATACCCTGGAATGTTTGGCCTTGGTACAGACACACAAGGTGACACACATACACACACACACAGGCTAAAATAAATGGCAATTAAAGGTTAATTTCCCACATCTTTGGCTTTTTAAATTGCAATTAGTGTCTGTGTATAAATAAATGTGTTTGTTAGCTCTTACGTGGATACACTGAGCAGGCTAGATACTGAGCCATGGGGAGCAGAAAAGAATTGTTAAAAAAAAAAAAAAAAAACACTGCGTAACAAGGTAATGGAACTTTATAAAGATGGAAAAGGATATAAAAAGCCTTGAATATGCCAGTCGGTACTGTTCAATTACTTATTAGGAAGTGGAAGATTAAAGGATCTCTTGATACCAAGCCAGGGTCAAGTGGACCATGAAAGATTGCAGCCATATCTGCCAGAATTGATGGGGATACAAAGAAAAACTCACAGATAAACTCAGGAGAAAAAATAGACTGTTCTGGAAAAAGACTGTGTGGTTGATTCAGACCTGGTTCACATCAATGCAGTGCGGGAAACGCTGTGAATCCTTTGCTTTTCCTGCAACGCATTGTAATCGCATTACGTCCATGCGATCTGATGCAGTGTCAATGGTAAATTAATGACACCCCAAAACAGATGGCAAAACGCGATGCAATTGCCATAAATCACATTGCATGGATGAGAATACTCATGTGATGCGATTCAGGTGCGTATTTAAAAAAGGTCCTACACCTTGTTGGTGTGGATGTGATTTGAACCATACAAAGTGTATGGCTCAAATTGCACAAACAGACATTTGCATGTAATTTGCACGGGAATGCAGTGCGATTCCTGTGCAAATTACATGCAGTGTCCCCACAATGTGAACCCGGGATCAAGGAGCACAATAGGTGTGCGCATGCCCCCTACCCAGAAATACAAAATCATGTATATATACAGTGGGGATTGAAAGTTTGGGCACCCCAGCTAAAAATTTGTATTAATGTGCATAAAGAAGGCAAGGAAAGATGGAAAAATCTCCAAAAGGCATCAAATTACAGATTAGACATTCTTATAATATGTCAACAAAAGTTAGATTTTATTTCCATCATTTACACTTTCAAAATAACAGAAAACAAAAAAATGGCGTCTGCAAAAGTTTGGGCACCCTGCAGAGTTAATATCTTGTACTGCCCCCTTTGGCAAGTATCACAGCTTGTAAACGCTTTTTGTAGCCAGCCAAGAGTCTTTCAATTCTTGTTTGAGGTATCTTTGCCCATTCTTCCTTACAAAAGTCTTCCAGTTCTTTGAGATTTCTGGGCTGTCTGTCACGCACTGCTCTTTTAAGGTCTATCCATAGATTTTCAATTATGTTGAGGTCAGGAGATTGTGAAGGCCATGGCAAAACCTTCAGTTTACGCCTCTTGATGTAATCCCCCGTGGATTTCGAGGTGTGTTTAGGATCGTTATCCATTTGTAGAAGCCATCCTCTCTTTAACTTCAGCTTTTTCACAGATGGCATCAAGTTACCATTCAAAATTTGCTGAAATTTTATTGAATCCATTTTTCCTTCTACTCGTGAGATGTTCCCTGTGCCACTGGCTGCAACACAACCCCAAAGCATGATTGATCCAACCCCATGCTTAACAGTTGGACAGAGGTTCTTTTCATTAAATTCTGTGCCCCTTCTTCTCCAAACGTACCTTTGCTCATTCCGGCCAAAAAGTTCAATTTTAACCTCATCGGTCCACAGAACTTGTTTCCAAAATGCATCAGGCTTGTCTATATGTTCATTTGCAAAGTTCAAACGATGATTTTTGTGGTGAGGACGTAGAAGAGGTTTTCTTCTGATGACTCTTCCATGAAGACCATATTTGTACAAGTATCTCTTTATAGTGGAATAGTGTACCACAACTCCAGTGTCTGCCAGATCTTTCTGGAGGGATCGTGCAGTCAAACGCGGGTTTTGAATTGTTTTTCTCACAATCCTGCGAGCTGTTCTGTCTGATATTTTTCTTGGTCTTCCAGATGTTGCTTTAACTTCCACTGTTCCTGATGACTGCCATTTCTTAATTACATTCCGAACAGAGGATATTGACATCTGAAAACGCTTTGCTATCTTCTTATAGCCTTCTCCAGCTTTGTGAGCGTCAACTATTTTCAGTTTCAGTTTTCTAGACAACTGCTTAGAAGAACCCATGGTGCTGATTGTTGGGGCAAGGTCAGATGAGTCTGGGCATTTAAAACCTTTGAGATTGACATCACCTGGTCTTTCCAGACGATGATTGAGAACAATCCATGACACTGGCAGGTCTCAGCTTTGCAAAGGGGGCAGTGCATGCTATAAATTCTGCAGGGTGCCCAAACTTTTGCAGATGCCATTTTTTTGTTTTCTGTTATTTTGAAAGTGTAAATGATGGAAATAAAATCTAACTTTTGTTGACATATTATAAGAATGTCTAATCTGTAATTTGATGCCTTTTGGAGATTTTTCCATCTTTCCTTGGCTTCTTTATGCACATTAATACAAATATTTAGCTGGGGTGGCCAAACGTTCGATCCCCACTGTACACATGATTTTGCACAGCCCTGTAGCTGTAGTTCTGCTATAGGACGGTTGGGAAGCTGCTACTATAATCGAGCCACTCTGGGGGAGGTTTCAAATGTGTGTTTCATGCAAGACAACCAAAGACTTTGTATGACCTGGAGGCATTTTGCCACGACAAATAAACAGCTATACCACCTGCAAGAATTCAGCACCAAATAGACAACTATTACAAATGTCTGCATGCTGTATCTGATGCTAAAGGGGGAAATATACAGTATTAAGAACTAAGGGTAGGCAGACTTCTACTTGTTGCCAGGTTTTGTTTTATGGCTGTGCCATTCTGTTATGACCTACAGTTGAATATGAATCCCGTAAGAAATTAAAAGAAATGTGTTTTGCCAGCTCACTCATATAAAAATGGTACATACTGTATATTACCAATTCTCCAAGGGTGTGAAAACTTTGAGCACAACTGTATGTGGTTTAGCAGGCTTTTGTTGTTCTCAGGAACGAATACAGAACTACAAATCCTGCTGTTTGCCTGAAGATCAGATGTAAGATTTAATTTAGCAGGTTAAGTTTTAGGGCTTATGTGTGGGTTCATAACCTAAATCAGTACTTTGTACAGTTTGATTGCATTGTGAGTGCCAAGAACCACTATCAGGTTCACTCTGCTCAATAATTTTTATCGCCTAATTTTTTTTAGGTGCGCAGGAGCTCTGGATTACTTGAAGCGTACTAAAAAGTAATAGGTTTTTAAAATGGGGTTGACTGGCAGCTCTATTTTTTATAGGACAAACTGTATGTATACGCAGTTCAGTTTTGGGCACCAATTCACAAAAAAAACATTGGGGAACTGGAGAAAGTACAGAGAAGGGCAACCAAACTGATAAGAGGCATGGAGGAGCTCAGCTATGAGGAAAGATTAGAGGAACTGAATGTATTCTCTCTTGAGAAGAGGAGATTAAGGGGGATATGATCTCCATGTATAATACATAAGGGGGGATATGATCTCCATGTATAATACATAAGGGGGGATATGATCTCCATGTATAATACATAAGGGGGGATATGATCACCATGTATAATACATAAGGGGGGATATGATCTCCATGTATAATACATAAGGGGGATATGATCTCCATGTATAATACATAAGGGGGATATGATCACCATGTATAATACATAAGGGGGGGATATGATCTCCATGTATAATACATAAGGGGGGATATGATCTCCATGTATAATAGATAAGGGGGCATATGATCTCCATGTATAATACATAAGGGGGGATATGATCACCATGTATAATACATAAGGGGGATATGATCTCCATGTATAATACATAAGGGGGATATGATCTCCATGTATAATACATAAGGGGGATATGATCACCATGTATAATACATAAGGGGGGGATATGATCACCATGTATAATACATAAGGGGGGATATGATCTCCATGTATAATAGATAAGGGGGCATATGATCTCCATGTATAATACATAAGGGGGGATATGATCTCCATGTATAATACATAAGGGGGGACATGATCTCCATGTATAATACATAAGGGGGGATATGATCACCATGTATAATACATAAGGGGGATATGATCACCATGTATAATACATAAGGGGGATATGATCTCCATGTATAATACATAAGGGGGGATATGATCACCATGTACAATACATAATGGGTATATGATCTCCGTGTATAATACATAAGGGGGGATATGATCTCCGTGTATAATACATAAGGGGGGATATGATCTCTGTGTATAATACATAAGGGGGGATAAGATCTCCGTGTATAATACATAAGGGGGGATATGATCTCCATGTATAATACATAAGGGGGATATGATCACCATGTATAATACATAAGGGGGGATATGATCTCCATGTATAATACATAAGGGGGGATATGATCTCCATGTATAATACATAAGGGGGGATATGATCTCCATGTATAATACATAAGGGGGGATATGATCACCATGTATAATACATAGGGGGGGATATGATCTCCATGTATAATACATAAGGGGGGATATGATCTCCATGTATAATACATAAGGGGGGATATGATCTCCATGTATAATACATAAGGGGGGATATGATCTCCATGTATAATACATAAGGGTGGATATGATCACCATGTATAATACATAAGGGGGGGGGGGGTTATGATCTCCATGTATAATACATAAGGGGGGATATGATCTCCATGTATAATACATAAGGGGGATATGATCTCCATGTATAATACATAAGGGGGATATGATCTCCATGTATAATACATAAGGGGGGATATGATCTCCATGTATAATACATAAGGGGGGATATGATCTCCATGTATAATACATAAGGGGGATATGATCACCATGTATAATACATAAGGGGGGATATGATCTCCATGTATAATACATAAGGGGGGATATGATCTCCATGTATAATACATAAGGGGGGATATGATCTCCATGTATGAATACATCAGTGGTTCATATAGTGAACTCGGTGTAGAGCTATTCACCCTGAGGTCATCCCAGAGGACAAGGGGGCACTCTTTACGTCTGGAGGAAAAGAAATGTAATCTCCAAACATGGAAAGGTTTTTTCACAGTGAGAGCTGTGAAAATGTGGAATAGACTCCCTCAAGAGTTGGTTCTGGCCAGCTCAGTGGATTGCTTAAAAAAAGGCCTGGATTCTTTCTTAGATACACAGAATATAACTGGATACTAACATTTATAGGTAAAGTTGATCCAGGGAACGTCAGATTGCCTCTCGGGGGATCAAGAAGGAATTTTTCCCTGCAGGAGCAAATTGGATCATACTTTGCTGGGGGTTTTTTTTGCCTTCCTCTGGATCAACTGTGGGTGTAGGATTATAACTTTTTTTTTTTTTTTTTTTAATGGTTGAACTAGATGGACTTTTGTCTTTTTTCTGCCAGACTAACTATGTAACTATATGAATGGTTCTAAGGGGAACACAAATAAAATAAGGGCTAGAAGCACTACTCCATAAATAAAAGTCTAGAATAATATATATTTATAATTGCTTGGGAAAAGCAAACATGTGTTAGAGGTTGTAAACCTCCCCCTTCTTCAGGGCTTAATGAGAACAAAGGAACGAAATCTGGACTGGACAATATCAGAAGGACAGGTAATCTCTCGCAGAGCAGCTAAGAGCACTACATCTTCCAAGAGGTCCTTCTTGCAGTGCCCACCTTGCATTCTGCATGGGCCCTGCCTGCTGGCTGAAGATAGTATTTATCACTTGTGTCTTCTACAGAGTCTTTTCATTGTTTTGTATGTTTTTATTATATTTCTACAAATAAAACTGATTCTTTAAATACTTATTGGCTGCAATGAAGTCCTATGGGAACGATTTTTCTTTTGTGTAGCAGTTAAAGGACATGGCAGCCCTGCACTCATGGGTGAATCACCTACATTTTTGGATAAGAACCTGCACTGTGGCATCACAGATCGGCAACAAGACCAATCAAGAGATCAACAAGCAGTCACCTGTTCCCACCCTCAAAAGAGGCAAAACAAGAGTCACTTAAGGAGAACTATACTCTTCTTCTCCAGTGCTGTGGTTTCCAGGAGCTCCCCACTCGCCGTTGACATCTTTGGATGGTTGGCTTCTTGGTACCGATTTCTGCCCATTTTTACTGGTCAGGTTGAAATGAGGTCACTCGCATGCATATGTAGGAGCTCATTCATCTTAGCATTGCCCAAATTGTACATTGAGCTGCACATGCACAGTTCAGAGTACAGGCCATATTCATATAGGCAGATAAGGATCTTCAATGCAGAAGAGAAGAGATATAGTATACAAGGTGTGACAATTTAATCCTCATATTGCCTGTGGCTTAGCACTATGGTGGTGAGTCACACATACATTCGTACTCAAGCATGTTCTAACTTGCAGTTACCTGGCTGACTCAGTCTTTACAGAGTAGTAGGAAAAAGTGTAACATTTGTGCATTGCAGAAAATAAGTGACAGGAATCTGGAGTAGCAGATTAACATCAAATTTTGCATGAAAATTGGAAAAAATGTGAGCGATACTTTAGCTCTGTTACAACAGGCTTATGGTGAATGTTCCATGAAGAAATCAAGAGTTTTTTGAATGGCATAGGTGGTTTAAAGAAGGGCGAGAAGATGTCCATGATGACGCAAGATGTAGGCAGCCAAAAACGTGAAAGGGTAGGTGCAAATGTGGGCAGAGTGCAAATCCTTGTACAGTCAGATCAAAGGCTGACTTTGTGCGAATGATAGAAGAATTGAAGATGCAGCAGATTCCAATGGAGGATTTGGGAATGAGAAAGAGTTCTGCAAAGATGGTGCCTCTAATAATGACAGAAGATCAGAAAGAACATTGTCTTCAAAATTTCATTACATCTTTTGAAGAATGCAGAAGTGTTTGAGATATATATATGTATTATTTTTTGCAGGCCATTCTGGGAATTAAATTGTCACACCTCGTACAGTATGTCTTTTTCTGCATTAAAAATCCTGTCTGTTTGCCATTTTATTTGGCTAAAAGTTCCAATTCACAAAAAGGTTCAGGTCACCTTTAAGGTGACCTTGGGGTAAAATGTATTTAGAAGTTACTGCAACTGCAACTGCTTTCATTTACAATACAAAATATTAAATAAGAAAATTCAGACAGTACTTTAGGCATGTTACAAAAAACTTTATTTGAATAAAATCATAAATACAAAGGCTGTCTGTACACCTGTATAAAAATACATACTTTACATTTCAATAATTCAATAGCACATTTTTAAAAAAGGTCATCTATACAGATTACGTGAAAAGAAAAAAAATATCCCATGATGTATTTGAAACTTTACAGCTAAACATTCTTTACCTCTTGTAACGGTTTTTAATAAAAACAGATCTGAAATAAAACTATAAAAATGTAAGGGTAAAACGATCAGAAACATCTAAAAGCTGGTATATTTTTTTTTTTATTTATATGTGTTTAGAGTTATCACACCCACAGAAAG